CCTCAGTTGGTACTCATGTGTCCACTTACCTCAGATGGTACCCATGTGTCCACTTACCTCAGATGGTGCCCATGTGTCCACTTACGTCAGATGGTACCCATGTGTCCACTTACCTCAGATGGTACTCATGTGTCCACTTACCTCAGTTGGTACTCATGTGTCCACTTACGTCAGATGGTACTCATGTGTCCACTTACCTAAGATGGTACCCATGTGTCCACTTACGTCAGATGGTACCCATGTGTCCACTTACCTCAGATGGTACCCATGTGTCCACTTACGTCAGTTGGTACCCATGTGTCCACTTACCTCAGATGGTACCCATGTGTCCACTTACCCCAGTTGGTACCCATGTGTCCACTTACCTAAGATGGTACCCATGTGTCCACTTACCTCAGATGGTACCCATGTGTCCACTTACCTCAGATGGTACCCATGTGTCCACTTACCTCAGATGGTACCCATGTGTCCACTTACCTCAGATGGTACCCATGTGTCCACTTACGTCAGTTGGTACCCATGTGTCCACTTACATCAGATGGTACTCATGTGTCCACTTACGTCAGATGGTACCCATGTGTCCACTTACGTCAGATGGTGCCCATGTGTCTACTTACCTCAGATGGTGCCCATGTGTCCACTTACGTCAGTTGGTGCCCATGTGTCCACTTACGTCAGTTGGTACCCATGTGTCCACTTACCTCAGTTGGTACCCATGTGTCCACTTACGTCAGATGGTACCCATGTGTCCACTTACCTCAGATGGTACCCATGTGTCCACTTACGTCAGATGGTACCCATGTGTCCACTTACGTCAGATGGTGCCCATGTGTCCACTTACCTCAGATGGTGCCCATGTGTCCACTTACGTCAGATGGTACTGATGTGTCCACTTACCTCAGATGGTACCCATGTGTCCACTTACGTCAGATGGTACTGATGTGTCCACTTACCTCAGATGGTACCCATGTGTCCACTTACCTCAGTTGGTACTCATGTGTCCACTTACGTCAGATGGTACTGATGTGTCCACTTACCTCAGATGGTACCCATGTGTCCACTTACCTCAGATGGTACCCATGTGTCCACTTACCCCAGTTGGTACTCATGTGTTCACTTACCCCAGATGGTACCCATGTGTCCACTTACCCCAGATGGTACCCATGTGTCCATTTACCTCAGTTGGTACCCATGTGTCCACTTACCTCAGATGGTACTCATGTGTCCACTTACCCCAGATGGTACCCATGTTTCCACTTACCTCAGATGGTACCCATGTGTCCACTTACCTCAGTTGGTACCCATGTGTCCACTTACCTCAGATGGTGCCCATGTGTCCACTTACCTCAGTTGGTACCCATGTGTCCACTTACCTCAGATGGTACCCATGTGTCCACTTACCTCAGTTGGTACCCATGTGTCCACTTACCAGTTGGTACCCATGTGTCCACTTACCAGTTGGTACCCATGTGTCCACTTACCAGTTGGTACCCATGTGTCCACTTACCAGTTGGTACCCATGTGTCCACTTACCAGTTGGTACCCATGTGTCCACTTACCAGTTGGTACCCACGTAAACTCCTCCATAATAACCACACATAACACTTGCATTAAGTGTTCGTAATCCAACAAGGACCTTCAAGTTCGCTTTACTATTCTGCTGTAAGTAATGGACACTTATGGTTATTCTGGTCTGAAGTGTCATTAGGCTCTTAAAACAAACTGTCATGACTGTACTTATACCATGGATCAACACAATGATGTTTCTTACACTGAGCACAGTACACAGACTGTGTACTGTGTCTGTGTACTGTTTGTGTAATTTGTCTGTGTACTGTGTTGGTGTACTGTGTCTGTGTACTGTGTGTACTGTGTCTGTGTAATGTGTCTGTGTACTGTGTTTGTGTACTGTGTCTGTGTCTGTGTACTGTGTCTATGTACTGTGTCTATGTACTGTGTGTACTGTGTGTACTGTGTCTGTGTACTGTGTCTGTGTACTGTGTCTATGTACTGTGTGTACTGTGTCTGTGTACTGTGTCTGTGTACTGTGTCTATGTACTGTGTGTACTGTGTCTGTGTACTGTATCTGTGTACTGTGTCTGTGTACTGTGTCTGTGTACTAGTCCTGTGTACTATGTGTACTGTGTCTGTGTACTAGTCCTGTGTACTATGTGTACTGTGTCTGTGTACTAGTCCTGTGTACTGTGTCTGTGTACTGTGTCTGTGTACTAGTCCTGTGTACTGTGTGCACTAGCGCTGTGTGCTGTGTCTGTGTACTAGTCCTGTGTACTCTGTGTACTGTGTCTGTGTACTGTGACTGTGTACTGTGTCTGTGCACTAGTCTTGTGTACTGTGTCTGTGTACTGTGTCTATGTACTGTGTGTACTGTGTCTGTACTGTGTCTGTATACTGTGTCTATGTACTGTGTGTACTGTGTCTGTGTACTGTGTCTGTGTACTGTGTCTGTACTAGTCTTGTGTACTGTGTCTGTGTACTAGTCTTGTGTACTGTGTCTGTGTACTATGTCTGTGTACAGTGTCTGTGTCTGTGTACTAGTCTTGTGTACTGTGTCTGTGTACTGTGTCTGTGTACTAGTCTTGTGTACTGTGTCTGTGTACTAGTCTTGTGTACTGTGTCTGTGTACCGTGTCTCTGTACTGTGTCTGTGTACTGTGTCTGTGTACTAGTCTTGTGTACTGTGTCTGTGTACTAGTCTTGTGTACTGTATCTGTGTACTAGTCTTGTGTACCGTGTCTGTGTACTGTGTCTGTGTACTAGTCCTGTGTACTATGTCTGTGTACTGTGTCTGTGTACTGTGTCTGTGTACTAGTCCTGTTTACTCTGTGCACTCTGACTGTGTACTGTGTCTGTGTACTAGTCCTGTGTACTAGTCCTGTGTACTCTGTGTACTGTGTCTGTGTACTGTGACTGTGACTGTGTACTGTGTCTGTGCACTAGTCCTGTGTACTCTGACTGTGTAATGTGACTGTATACTATGTCTATGCACTGTGTGTACTGTGTCTGTGTACTAGTCCTGTGTACTATGTGTACTGTGTCTGTGTACTAGTCCTGTGTACTGTGTCTGTGTACTAGTCCTGTGTACTATGTGTACTGTGTCTGTGTACTAGTCCTGTGTACTGTGTCTGTGTACTGTGTCTGTGTACTAGTCCTGTGTACTATGTCTGTGTACTGTGTGCACTTGCCCTGTGTACTGTGTCTGTGTACTGTGTCTGTGTACTAGTCCTGTGTACTATGTCTGTGTACTGTGTGCACTAGCCCTGTGTACTGTGTCTGTGTACTGTGTCTGTGTACTGTGTCTGTGTACTGTGTCTGTACTAGTCCTGTGTACTGTGTCTGTGTACTAGTCCTGTGTACTATGTCTGTGTCTGTGTACTGTGTCTGTGTACTAGTCCTGTGTACTGTGTGCACTAGCCCTGTGTACTGTGTCTGTGTACTGTGTCTGTGTGCTAGTCCTGTGTACTGTGTGCACTAGCCCTGTGTACTGTGTCTGTGTACTGTGTCTGTGTGCTAGTCCTGTGTACTATGTGTCTGTGTACTAGTTCTGTGTACTGTGTCTGTGTACTGTTTCTGTGTACTAGTTCTGTGTACTGTGTCTGTGTACTAGTCCTGTGTACTGTGTCTGTGTACTGTGTCTGTGTACTGTCTGTGTACTGTGTCTGTGTACTGTGTCTGTGTACTGTGTCTGTGTACTGTGTCTGTGTACTGTGTCTGTGTACTGTGTCTGTGTACTGTTTCTGTGTACTGTGTCTGTGTACGAGTCTTGTGTACTGTGTCTGTGTACTGTGTCTGTGTAATGTGTCTGTGTAATGTGACTGTGTACTATGTCTGTGTACTGTGTCTGTGTACTGTGTCTGTGTACTGTGTCTGTGTACTGTGTCTGTGTACTGTGTCTGTGAACTAGTCCTGTGTACTGTGTCTGTGTACTAGTTCTGTATACTATGTCTGTGTCTGTGTACTGTGTCTGTGTACTAGTTCTGTGTACTGTGTACTGTGTCTGTGTGCTAGTTCTGTGTACTGTGTCTGTGTACTGTGTCTGTGTACTAGTTCTGTGTACTGTGTTTGTGTACTGTGTCTGTGTACAGTGACGCCACTTGTTTATACAGAAAAAAATCAATCATTGGGAGAAAAAGAGATGAACGTACCATAGCACGCTTGAAGACTTACATATATTTGTTCTGGTACAAATTTGGTAAAATCTTCTAAAATGATCCATGATTCTATCAAAGCCATCTATGTCTACCTTCTGAATAGCATTTTCTGCCATGGAGGCCTAACCAAAATCATGGAGATGAAGATATAACCCTCCATATTAGCAGGAAAAACTAGAGAAGAAAAATCAGAGACATGATCACAACATACAAGGTACCGAGGTCAAAACACTAGGAGCTAGAGCTCACCCTCCCTCAATGAGTGATAGGTAAGTACTGGTAGGTTTCCCCCGCCACCGCCAGGGTGCCGCCTGCGCCATGCTGCCGGTGCCTGAGCCGGGCGGTGATTGGTGGTCGAGAGTGGCGGCGCGCGGTGACTGGTGGGTGGGCGGGGCCGGGGTCGGGTGGCACTGGGCGGCCGGCCCCGCCCACCACATAATTGAGAGTGATGGTGGAGCCAGGAGCACTGTGACGCGGGACTTTTTATCCTCACCACCACCCGTCCGACCCCCGCTAGGCCTACGTCAGGCAGGTGTTCAGTGTCTCACCTGGTGGACCTCCGCCCACACGCCCATCCCGCGCCCGCACGCCCGCGGCCCGCACGCCCGCACGCCCGCCGTGACCCGCCGAGGGAGTGCCCGCGGTGACCCAAGTGTGTTGCGGCAGCAGGTGTGGTGTTCCCGACAGGTGTGTTGCAGGTGTAGGTCGGGCAGAGGGAGGTGTGGAGAGGAGGGGAGCGGAGAGGTACACCACGGCGCCCTCACCGCCGCCACACCTGCCCTCCGACGCCAGCCTGCCAGTGCCGCGGCACCTCTGGCCTCTCCACCAGGCCATGAGTGCCGTCGTCACCCAAGCTGGCCCTCACCTGGGGCCCGTGGCACCCGCCGTGGCCCCCGACCCGCCTCCTGACGTCCTCCTGGCACTCCTCTCACGCAACAAGGCTCTTGAAGGTAGGTGGTGCGGCGGTCACTCAAGTGGCACTCCCTACTGGCACTCATGACCTCCATAGTGGCACTCATGGCCTCCCTACTGGCACTCATGGCCTCCCTACTGGCACTCATGGCCTCCCTAGTGGCACTATCATGGCCTCCATAGTGGTACTATCAAGACCTCCATAGTGGCACTATCATGGCCTCCATAGTGGCACTATCATGGCCTCCATAGTGGCACTATCATGGCCTCCATAGTGGCACTATCATGGTCTCCATAGTGGCACTATCATGGCCTCCATAGTGGCACTATCATGGCCTCCATAGTGGCACTATCATGGTCTCCATAGTGGCACTATCATGGCCTCCATAGTGGCACTATCATGGCCTCCATAGTGGCACTATCATGGCCTCCATAGTGGCACTATCATGGCCTCCATAGTGGCACTATCATGGCCTCCATAGTGCCACTATCATGGTCTCCATAGTGGCACTATCATGGCCTCCATAGTGGCACTATCATGGCCTCCATAGTGCCACTATCATGGTCTCCATAGTGGCACTATCATGGCCTCCATAGTGGCACTATCATGGCCTCCATAGTGGCACTATCATGGTCTCCATAGCGGCACTATCATGGCCTCCATAGTGGCACTATCATGGTCTCCATAGTGGCACTATCATGGCCTCCATAGTGGCACTATCATGGTCTCCATAGTGGCACTATCATGGCCTCCATAGTGGCACTAACAATCATTGTTCCTCAAATTAGTATTTGATGATACTCGTGTGACACAGTCATTATTACCAAACACCGCCGCCAAACACCGCGGCCAAACACCGCGGCCAAACACCGCGGCCAAACACCGCGGCCAAACACCGCGGCCAAACACCGCGGCCAAACACCGCGGCCAAACACCGCGGCCAAACACCGCGGCCAAACACCGCGGCCAAACACCGCGGCCAAACACCGCCGCCAAACACCGCCGCCAAACACCAGCCGCCAAACACCAGCCGCCAAACACCGCCGCCAAACACCGCGGCCAAACACCGCGGCCAAACACCGCCGCCAAACACCGCGGCCAAACACGGCGGCCAAACACCGCGGCCAAACACCGCCGCCAAACACCGCCGCCAAACACCGCCGCCAAACACCGCCGCCAAACACAGCCGCCAAACACCGCCGCCAAACACCGCTGCCAAACACCGCGGCCAAACACCGCCGCCAAACACCGCCGCCAAACACCGCCGCCAAACACCAGCCGCCAAACACCAGCCGCCAAACACCGCGGCCAAACACCGCGGCCAAACACCGCCGCCAAACACCGCGGCCAAACACCGCCGCCAAACACCGCCGCCAAACACCGCCGCCAAACACCGCCGCCAAACACCGCCGCCAAACACCGCCGAAAAACACCGCCGCCAAACACAGCCGCCAAACACCGCTGCCAAACACCGCGGCCAAACACCGCCGCCAAACACCGCCGCCAAACACCGCTGCCAAACACCGCAGCCAAACACTGCGGCCAAACACCGCAGCCAAACACCGCCGCCAAACACAGCTGCCAAACACCGCCGCCAAACACAGCTGCCAAACACCGCCGCCAAACACCGCCGCCAAATACCGCCGCCAAACACCGCCGCCAAACACAGCTGCCAAACACCGCCGCCAAACACTGCCGCCAAACACCGCCGCCAATTACCGCGGCCAAACACGGCCGCCAAACACGGCCGCCAAACACCGCTGCCAAACACCGCAGCCAAACACCGCGGCCAAACACCGCAGCCAAACACCGCCGCCAAACACAGCTGCCAAACACCGCCGCCAAACACCGCCGCCAAACACCGCCGCCAAACACAGCTGCCAAACACCGCCGCCAAACACAGCTGCCAAACACCGCCGCCAAACACCGCCGCCAAACACCGCCGCCAAACACCGCTGCCAAACACCGCCGCCAAACACCGCCGCCAAACACCGCCGCCAAACACCGCCGCCAAACACCGCCGCCAAACACCGCTGCCAAACACCGCCGCCAAACACCGCCGCCAAATACCGCCGCCAAACACCGCCGCCAAACACAGCTGCCAAACATCGCCGCCAAACACAGCCGCCAAACACCGCCGCCAAACACCGCCGCCAAACACCGCCGCCAAACACAGCTGCCAAACACCGCCGCCAAACACCGCCGCCAAACACCGCCGCCAATTACCGCGGCCAAACACGGCCGCCAAACACCGCCGCCAAACACCACCTCCAAACATCGCCTCCAAACACCGCCGCCAAACACCGCCGCCAAACACCGCCGCCAAACACCGCCACCAAACATCGCCTCCAAACACCGCCGCCAAACACCACCTCCAAACACCACCTCCAAACACCACCTCCAAACACCACCTCCAAACACCACCTCCAAACACCGCCGCCAAACACCGCCGCCAAACACCACCTCCAAACACCACCTCCAAACACCACCTCCAAACACCGCCTCCAAACACCGCCTCCAAACACCGCCGCCAAACACCGCCGCCAAACACCACCTCCAAACACCGCCTCCAAACACCGCCGCCAAACACCACCTCCAAACACCACCTCCAAACACCACCTCCAAACATCGCCTCCAAACACCGCCGCCAAACACCGCCGGCGCTGACCACGTCAGACTGCAGTTAGACCAGCCTTTTCTGACCCTTCCCTCACGCTCGTCACGCTACTCACCTCACGCTCGTCACGCTCGTCACGCTACTCACCTCACACTCGTCACGCTACTCACCTCACGCTCGTCACGCTACTCACCTCACACTCGTCACACTCGTCACGCTACTCACCTTACACTCGTCACGCTACTCACCTCACACTCGTCACGCTACTCACCTCACACTCGTCACGCTCGTCTCGGTACTCACGTCACACTCGTCACGCTACTCACCTCACGCTCGTCACGCTACTCACCTCACGCTCGTCACGCTCGTCACGCTACTCACCTCACGCTCGTCACGCTACTCACCTCACACTCGTCACGCTACTCACCTCACGCTCGTCACGCTACTCACCTCACGCTCGTCACGCTACTCACCTCACACTCATCACGCTACTCACCTCACACTCGCCACGCTACTCACCTCACACTCGTCACGCTACTCACATCACACTCGTCACGCTACTCACCTCACGCTCGTCACGCTACTCACCTCACACTCGTCTCTCTCGTCACGCTACTCACCTCACACTCGTCACGCTACTCACCTCACACTCGTCACGCTACTCACCTCACACTCGTCACGCTACTCACCTCACACTCGTCACGCTACTCACCTCACACTCGTCACACTCGTCACGCTACTCACCTCACACTCGTCACGCTACTCACCTCACGCTCGTCACGCTACTCACCTCACACTCGTCACGCTACTCACCTCACACTCGTCACGCTACTCACCTCACACTCGTCACGCTACTCACCTCACGCTCGTCACGCTACTCACCTCACACTCGTCACGCTACTCACCTCACGCTCGTCACGCTCGTCGCGGTACTCACTTCACTCTCGTCACGCTACTCACCTCACGCTCGTCACGCTACTCACCTCACGCTCGTCACGCTACTCACCTCACGCTCGTCACGCTACTCACCTCACACTCGTCACGCTACTCACCTCACGCTCGTCACGCTCGTCGCGGTACTCACTTCACGCTCGTCACGCTACTCACCTCACGCTCGTCACGCTACTCACCTCACGCTCGTCACGCTACTCACCTCACGCTCGTCACGCTACTCACCTCACGCTCGTCACGCTACTCACCTCACACTCGTCACGCTACTCACCTCACACTCGTCACGCTACTCACCTCACGCTCGTCACGCTCGTCGCGGTACTCACTTCACGCTCGTCACGCTACTCACCCCACGCTCGTCACGCTACTCACCTCACGCTCGTCACGCTACTCACCCCACGCTCGTCACGCTACTCACCTCACACTCGTCACGCTACTCACCTCACGCTCGTCACGCTACTCACCTCACACTCGTCTCGCTACTCACCTCACACTCGTCACGCTACTCACCTCACGCTCGTCACGCTCGTCGCGGTACTCACTTCACTCTCGTCACGCTACTCACCTCACGCTCGTCACGCTACTCACCTCACCTCACACTCGTCACGCTACTCACCTCACGCTCGTCACGCTCGTCGCGGTACTCACTTCACTCTCGTCACGCTACTCACCTCACGCTCGTCACGCTACTCACCTCACGCTCGTCACGCTACTCACCTCACGCTCGTCACGCTACTCACCTCACGCTCGTCACGCTACTCACCTCACGCTACTCACCTCACGCTACTCACTTCACACTCGTCACTTCACGCTCGTCACGCTACTCACCTCACACTCGTCACGCTACTCACCTCACACTCATCACGCTACTCACCTCTCACTCGTCACGCAACTCACCTCACACTCGTCACGCTACTCACCTCACATCACGTTACTCACCTCACTCGTCACGCTACTCACCTCACACTCGTCACGCTACTCACCTCACACTCGTCACGCTACTCACCTCACACTCGTCACGCTACTCACCTCACACTCATCACGCTACTCACCTCACACTCGTCACGCTACTCACCTCACACTCGTCACGCTACTCACCTCACACTCGTCACGCTACTCACCTCACCTCACACTCGTCACGCTACTCACCTCACCTCACACTCGTCACGCTACTCACCTCACACTCGTCACGCTACTCACCTCACGCTCGTCACGCTACTCACCTCACCTCACACTCGTCACGCTACTCACCTCACACTCGTCACGCTACTCACCTCACACTCGTCACGCTACTCATAGCCACAGCTCGTCAAGGTATTCAGTCTGGTGGTAAACCCACACAATGTGTCATAACTTACATATTATACACACACATGTAGAGAACTGTTGATAGCGCTCACTCTGGTCACCTCTTGTGTGTACTTATTTTAAATTTTATCTGTGTGTGTTAGCTCCTGGACCCCGCCTTTCTGACCATCGGTTGTCTAACGTACCGACTCCCGACCTGTTGTCGTGTCATATTCTCTCTACACACACACACACACACACACACACACACACACACACACACACACACACACACACACACACACACACACACACACACACATCCCCAGGATGCGGGCCCCTAGCAGCTGTCTGCCAGGTACCTATTAACTTTGAGGTGAACAGGGGTTTCAGGTGACAGAAACTCTTCCTATTTGTTTTTACTTCGGCCGGGAATCGAACCCGGGCTCTTAGGACTACGACCACAGAGCGCTGTCCGCTCGGCTGCGTGGACTGTGTGTATGTGTGTGTGTGTGTTTACTAGTTGTGTTTACTAGTTGTGTTTTGCGGGGGTTGAGCTCTGCTCTTTCGGCCCGCCTCTCAACTGTCAATCAACTGTTTACTAACTACTTTTTTTTTTTTTTTTTTTTTTTTTTTTTCCCACACCACACACACACACACCCCAGGAAGCAGCCCGTGACAGCTGACTAACTCCCACGTACCTATTTACTGCTAGGTAACAGGGGCACTTAGGGTGAAAGAAACTTTGCCCATTTGTTTCTGCCTCGTGCGGGAATCGAACCCGCGCCACAGAATTACGAGTCCTGCGCGCTATCCACCAGGCTACGAGGCCCCGCGCGCGCGCGCGCGCGTGTGTGTGTGTGTGTGTGTGTGTGTGTGTGTGTGTGTGTGTGTGTGTGTGTGTGTGTGTGTGTTAAGTCCATATTTTTCTATATTATTATTGTGGTTTATTTACATTTCAGTATGTTTTTGTCGCCTGTCTGTTACCACAACACATGTGATCAATTTTCCGTATGTTGAGATGTTGTGACGAAACTGTGTTGTTGATGCAGTGGGGGAACACCTGTCTTGTTACCATGTGTTGCAGGTGTTGTTTGGTAGTTTATTGTTGATGGAATGATTTGTAGAGAAGCTAAATGAGGAGACATGTGTTGTCTTGAGTGTTGCAGCGGCTTGTGTTAACTGTGTGTTGCTGGGGTCAAGTGTTTCATTGTGTGTTACTGGGGTCAAGTGTTTCATTAAGTGTGTGTTGCTGGGGTCAAGTGTTTCATTGTGTGTTACTGGGGTCAAGTGTTTCATTAAGTGTGTGTTGCTGGGGTCAAGTGTTTAATTGTGTGTTGCTGGGGTCAAGTGTTTAATTAAGTGTGTGTTGCTGGGGTCAAGTGTTTCATTAAGTGTTGCTGGGGTAAAGTGTTTTATTAAGTGTGTGTTGCTGGGGTCAAGTGTTTTATTAAGTGTGTGTTGCTGGGGTCAAGTGTTTCATTGTGTGTTGCTGGGGTCAAGTGTTTTATTAAGTGTGTGTTGCTGGGGTCAAGTGTTTTATTAAGTGTGTGTTGCTGGGGTCAAGTGTTTCATTGTGTGTGTTGCTGGGGTCAAGTGTTTTATTAAGTGTGTGTTGCTGGGGTCAAGTGTTTTATTGTGTGTGTTGCTGGGGTCAAGTGTTTTATTGTGTGTGTTGCTGGGGTCAAGTGTTTCATTAAGTGTGTGTTGCTGGGGTCAAGTGTTTTATTGTGTGTGTTGCTGGGGTCAAGTGTTTTATTAAGTGTGTGTTGCTGGGGTCAAGTGTTTCATTGTGTGTTTCTGGGGTCAAGTGTTTCATTGTGTGTTGCTGGGGTCAAGTGTTTTATTAACTGTGTGTTGCTGGGTCAAGTGTTTCATTGTGTGTTGCTGGGGTCAAGTGTTTCATTGTGTGTTGCTGGGGTCAAGTGTTTCATTAACTGTGTGTTGCTGGGGTCAAGTGTTTCATTAAGTGTGTTTCCTCACTACACGTTCCTCCCGGTCAATACACTCAAGTCCAAAATATAAGTTGAGAAGCTTTTAAAGCCGTGTTAAACCCCTCTAGACGTGCGTATACCCTACAACATGTGTGTACAACACTGCCCCCTGCCTCGTGGACCACACACCTGTACCAATGTACACTCCTGTAAGAGTTATTAATGGGTTGTGTTCCGGTGTGTCCTCTAGACGAGGCGAGGGGCTGTAAGGTTGATGACCTCGTGGTAACAGGCTACCAGGTTGTTTCTTGAGCAACCTAAACATCTTGCTAAGGTCGTTCACTAAACTAAACCACTCACCAGAATATGAGGAGAGGACAACGACGACGTTTCGGTCCGTGCTGGACCATTGTCAAGTTACACACGACTTGCTAATGGTCAAGGACGGACCGAAACGTCGTAGTCTCCTCATGGTGAGACGACGATGTTTTTGGTTGTCACATCTTCAAGCCACGTTATTATTGTCCGCTAGACACAATAGTTTGATGAGTTATGTTGGTATCATCAACGTTTTCTGTGTCTCCTGGTATTACCTTCAGGAAGCCATAATATATACACGAGTAATGGTGAATGGTTGAGCTATACTTCAGTAGCCACGAGGAAAGGTAAAGCAGAGGGATACACCCAGTGGGAGGTGTACCGCACTCCTCTCTTTGTGTACACTGAGTTTACCTCAGTCCTGGACTATGTTAACGTGTACATGTGGGCTGGTTGGTACCAGTGTACTTGTGGTGACCTTACTGACTCGATCACCTGGTTAAGCCCAGTACTAGACCACGATAAAGAGAAACAAGTTAGCTCCACACCTCATGTGCAGGTGTGGAGCTAACGAGACCTGTGAGAGTCTTCTGAAACACTCACAATCATGAGATAGTGAGACTCACCATCAAGGTTCGCTGCGGTACATGACCCGACCAGATGGTGACGTACTGATAGTGCTTAACTTTATTGCATATCTTTGGAATGCTACAACTTTCCAAATAACATTGTCTTGGGGTCGTGATCAGACGGCATTGTTCACAGCTCTAATGCAACACGGTGCAATTATTCGTCTTTAAATCATTGACATGTGGTGTTTGTTGAGAGGTAAGTCAATGGTTTGAAGGCTTTGACTATCTTGCACTAGTATACAGCTTTACAGACCTGCTGTAGTGCTGTAGTTTACTGTATTCCCAGGGCTTGCATCTATATTTTTCTCACCCACATAATTTATTGCAAACTTAACGAGCAATTTTGTAATTACAGATCATAAAATTTTCAGGGAATTTTTTTTTATTATCTGCGATTTTTCTTGTGTTCTTGATTCTTAAATTCGAGTTTTATCACACAAAAAAGATAGTTTTCATAACCTTGTGAAACTATTGTGCTCTTTGTATTATATTATTTTTTGAATGTAGAAAGTATTCCTTTCTATTTGTAATTGAGAGTCATGGAAGGACTTGAGATTGATGAAACAAATATGATTGTATCGTTGAGTAGTGAGAGTTGTGAAGACTGTGAGGGTCAATATTGGCTGAGGACGGAGTGTGATGCACTCACTCATACATGATGGGTTGAGATGAGCGGGGGGGGGGGGGCGGCCTGTGTGTAGTGGTGGTGGTGTACTGGTGGTGTGGTGATGGTGTACTTGTGGTGTGATGATGGTGTACTTGTGGTGTGTTGGTGGTGATGATGGTGTACTTGTGGTGTGTTGGTGGTGATGATGGTGTACTTGTGGTGTGTTGATGGTGTACTTATGGTGTGTTGATGGTGTACTTGTGGTGTGATGGTGTACTTGTGGTGTGATGGTGTACTTGTGGTGTGATGGTGTACCTGAGGTGTGATGATGATGGTGTACTCTTGTAGTGTGATGATGATGGTGTACTTGTGCGATGGTGATGGTGTACTTGTGTTTTTTTTATTAATACACTAGGTACATCAGAATTAGTGCAGCTACCCTAGACTATATGAAGTGGAGTACAGTGTGTCAAAAAAGCTAACTAGGTGATGCTAAAAAATCCCCATCACACAGGATGGTTAGTCATAATTCCCAGTAGTCTGCACTGGCAGACTCTGGGTTCGTTATGAGGATATCATCAACACAAGAGTGAATAAGGCAGCAGTGGTAATACAAGTCTCCATCTCGCAGGATGGTTAGTCATACAGGGCCATGTGTTTAATAGCCTGCACTGGCAAATTTTGGGTACACTGTGAGGATATCTTCAAGAATACGAGAGTGAATAAAGTAATTGCAGAGCTCCAGGTACCTCATGCCAACTGATCTGAAAGGTCTAATGACTGGGCATTCGGTGATGTAGTGCGGGAGATCATGCCGCAGTTCCTGCTCACAGAGTTTGCAACTGGAGTGCTCAGGATTGGGAGACCCGTCACCTGTAGCCACCTGCCACAGGTAACGGTAACCCAACCTGATCCTTGCAACCATTGTGTCGCACAGTCTAGTGGACGTTTTGTGCTGCCCATAGATGTAGGTTTCAGATCTGAACAAATCATAGCTTTTTATACTAGTACTTTCAGGTCGTTGGGAGTCAGTAAGTTCTTTCCTATCAGATCTGAGTGTTTGGACCAATACAGTTTTGACAGAAGAGATGGGGATACCTAGATCTAATTCAACTTCAAGGTGTAATAATTTTTTTTTTATTAAGTTATGAGGTACATCTGCATTAGTGCAGCTACCCTAGACTATATGAAGTGGAGTACCGTGTGTCAAAAAAGCTAACTAGGTGATGCTATAAAATCCCCATCACACAGGATGGTTAGTCATAGTGGTGGTGTGATAAATCTAGGTTTTACACTCGCCACATTTGATTACCCTGAGCTAGTCTTCCGGAATCATGCATCAACAGTAAGAACATCAACAACAGTAAGAACATCATCAGTAAGAACATCAACAACAGTAAGAATACATCAACAACAGTAAGAATACATCAACAACAGCAAGAATACATCAACAACAGCAAGAATACATCAACAACAGCAAGAATACATCAACAACAGTAAGAACATCATCAGCAGTAAGAACATCAACAACAGTAAGAACATCATCAGCAGTAAGAACATCAACAACAGTAAGAACATCATCAGCAGTAAGAACATCATCAACAGTAAGAACATCATCAGCAGTAAGAACATCATCAACAGAAGGAACATCATCAACAGTAAGAACATCATCAACAGAAGGAATATCATCAACAGAAGGAACATCATCAACAGAAGGAACATCATCAACAGAAGGAACATCATCAACAGTAAGAACATCATCAACAGAAGGAACATCATCAACAGAAGGAACATCATCAACAGAAGGAACATCATCAACAGAAGGAACATCATCAACAGAAGGAACATCATCAACAGTAAGAACATCATCAACAGAAGGAACATCATCAACAGTAAGAACATAACAATATGGACATCAGCAACAACAGTACCCCCAATGGCAGGCAACATGTTGCAACAAAGTAACATGTATCACTCAGAACGACCACTGTATCACTCAGAACGACCACTGTATCACTCAAAACGAGCACTGTATCACTCAGAACGACCACTGTATCACTCAGAACGAGCACTGTATCACTCAGAACGACCACTGTATCACTCAAAACGACCACTGTATCACTCAGAACGAGCACTGTATCACTCAGAACGAGCACTGTATCACTCAGAACGACCACTGTATCACTCAAAACGACCACTGTATCACTCAGAACGAGCACTGTATCACTCAGAACGAGCACTGTATCACTCAGAACGACCACTGTATCACTCAAAACGAGCACTGTATCACTCAGAACGAGTACTGTATCACTCAGAACGAGCACTGTATCACTCAGAACGAGCACTGTATCACTCAGAACGAGCACTGTATCACTCAGAACGAGCACTGTATCACTCAGAACGACCACTGTATCACTCAAAACGACCACTGTATCACTCAGAACGAGCACTGTATCACTCAGAACGAGCACTGTATCACTCAGAACGAGCACTGTATCACTCAGAACGACCACTGTATCACTCAAAACGACCACTGTATCACTCAAAACGACCACTGTATCACTCAAAACGACCACTGTATCACTCAGAACGACCACTGTATCACTCAGAACGACCACTGTATCACTCAAAACGACCACTGTATCACTCAAAACGACCACTGTATCACTCACAACGACCACTGTATCACTCAAAACGACCACTGTATCACTCAAACGACCACTGTATCACTCAAAACGACCACTGTATCACTCAAAACGACCACTGTATCACTCAGAACGACCACTGTATCACTCAAAACGACCACTGTATCACTCATGACGACCACTGTATCACTCAAAACGACCACCGTATCACTCAAAACGACCACTGTATCACTCACGACGACCACTGTATCACTCAAAACGACCACTGTATCACTCAAAACGACCACTGTATCACTCAAAACGACCACTGTATCACTCAAAACGACCACTGTATCACTCAAAACGACCACTGTATCACTCATGACGACCACTGTATCACTCAAAACGACCACTATATCACTCAAAACAACCACTGTATCACTCAAAACGACCCCTGTATCACTCAAAACGACCACTGTATCACTCCCGACGACCACTGTATCACTCAAAACGACCACAGTATCACTCAAAACGACCACAGTATCACCCGACGACTACTGTATCACTCAAAACGACCACTGTGTCACTCAGAACGGCCACTGTATCACTCAAAACGACCACTGTATCACTCAAAACGACCACTGTATCACTCAGAACGACCACTGTATCACTCAAAACGACCACTGTATCACTCAAAACGACCACTGTATCACTCACGACGACCACTGTATCACTCAAAACGACCACTGTATCACTCACGACGACCACTGTACCACACAGAACGACCACTGTATCACTCAAACGACCACTGTATCACTCAGAACGACCACTGTATCACTCACGACGACCACTGTATCACTCAGAACGACCACTGTATCACTCAGAACGACCACTGTACCACTCAGAACGACCACTGTATCACTCAAAACGACCACTGTATCACTCAGAACGACCACTGTATCACTCACGACGACCACTGTATCACTCAAAACGACCACTGTATCACTCAGAACGACCGCGTATCACTCAGAACGACCACTGTACCACTCAGAACGACCACTGTATCACTCAAAACGACCACTCTATCACTCACGATGACCACAGTATCACTCAAAACGACCACTGTATCACTCAAAACGACCACTGTATCACTCAGAACGACCACCGTATCACTCAGAACGACCACTGTACCACTCAGAACGACCACTGTATCACTCAAAACGACCACTGTATCACTCATGACGACCACTGTATCACTCAAAACGACCACCGTATCACTCAAAACGACCACTGTATCACTCACGACGACCACTGTATCACTCAAAACGACCACTGTATCACTCAAAACGACCACTGTATCACTCAAAACGACCACTGTATCACTCAAAACGACCACTGTATCACTCAAAACGACCACTGTATCACTCATGACGACCACTGTATCACTCAAAACGACCACTATATCACTCAAAACGACCACTGTATCACTCAAAACGACCACTGTATCACTCAAAACGACCACTGTATCACTCCCGACGACCACAGTATCACTCAAAACGACCACAGTATCACACGACGACCACTGTATCACTCAAAACGACCACTGTGTCACTCAGAACGGCCACTGTATCACTCAAAACGACCACTGTATCACTCAAAACGACCACTGTATCACTCAGAACGACCACTGTATCACTCAAAACGACCACTGTATCACTCAAAACGACCACTGTATCACTCACGACGACCACTGTATCACTCAAAACGACCACTGTATCACTCACGACGACCACTGTACCACACAGAACGACCACTGTATCACTCAAAACGACCACTGTATCACACAGAACGACCACTGTATCACTCACGACGAACACTGTATCACTCAGAACGACCACTGTATCACTCAGAACGACCACTGTACCACTCAGAACGACCACTGTATCACTCAAAACGACCACTGTATCACTCAGAACGACCACTGTATCACTCACGACGACCACTGTATCACTCAAAACGACCACTGTATCACTCAGAACGACCACTGTATCACTCAGAACGACCACTGTACCACTCAGAACGACCACTGTATCACTCAAAACGACCACTGTATCACTCAAAACGACCACTGTATCACTCACGACGACCACTGTATCACTCAAAACGACCACTGTATCACTCACGACGACCACTGTACCACACAGAACGACCACTGTATCACTCAAAACGACCACTGTATCACTCAGAACGACCACTGTATCACTCAGAACGACCACTGTATCACTCAAAACGACCACTGTACCACTCAGAACGACCACTGTATCACTCAAAACGACCACTCTATCACTCACGACGACCACTGTATCACTCAGAACGACCATTGTATCACTCAGAACGACCACTGTATCACTCAAAATGACCACTGTATCACTCAGAACGACCACTGTATCACTCAAAACGACCACTGTATCACTCAGAACGACCACTGTATCACTCAAAACGACCACTGTATCACTCACGACGCCAACAGTATCACTCAAAACGACCACTGTATCACTCACGACGACCACTGTATCACTCAAAACGACCACTGTATCACTCACGACGACCACAGTATCACTCAAAACGACCACTGTATCACTCACGACGACCACTGTATCACTCAAAACGACCACTGTATCACTCAGATCGACCACTGTATCACACAGAACGACCACTGTATCACTCGGAACGACCACTGTATCACTCAGAACGACCACTGTATCACTCGGAACGACCACTGTATCACTCAAAACGACCACTGTATCACTCACGACGACCACTGTATCACTCGCGACAACCACTGTATCACTCACGACGACCACTGTATCACTCACGACGACCACTGTATCACTCACGACGACCACTGTATCACTCACGACGACCACTGTATCACTCGCGACGACCACTGTATCACTCGCGACGACAAATATATGACTCATGACGACCATTTTATCACTCACGATGACCACTGTATCACGACCACTGTATCACTCACGACGACCACTGTATCGCCCACGACAACCACTGTAACACTCACGACGACCACTGTAGCACTCGCGACAACCACTGTATCACTCACGACGACCACTGTATCACTCACGACAACCACTGTATCATTCACGACGACCACTCTATCACTTACGACAACCACTGTATCATTCACGACGACCACTGTATCACTCGCGACAACCACTGTATCACTCACGACGACCACTGTATCACTCACGACGACCACTGTATCACTCACGACGACCACTGTATCACTCACGACGACCACTGTATCACTCACGACGACCACTGTATCGCTCATGACGACCACTGTATCACTCGGAACGACCACTGTATCACTCAAAACGACCACTGTATCACTCACGACGACCACTGTATCACTCGCGACCACCACTGTATCACTCACGACGACCACTGTATCACTCACGACGACCACTGTATCACTCACGACGACCACTGTATCACTCACGACGACCACTGTATCACTCGCGACGACCACTGTATCACTCGTGACGACAAATATATGACTCATGACGACCATTTTATCACTCACGATGACCACTGTATCACGACCACTGTATCACTCACGACGACCACTGTATCGCCCACGACAACCACTGTAACACTCACGACGACCACTGTAGCACTCGCGACAACCACTGTATCACTCACGACGACCACTGTATCACTCACGACAACCACTGTATCACTCACGACGACCACTGTATCACTCACGACAACCACTGTATCGCTCATGACGACCACTGTATCACTCACGACGACCACTGTATCACTCACGACGACCACTGTATCACTCACGACGACCACTGTATCACTCACGACGACCACTGTATCGCTCATGACGACCACTGTATCACCCACGACGACCACTGTATCACTCACGACGACCACTGTATCACTCGCGACGACAAATATATGACTCATGACAACCACTGTATCACTCGCGACGACCACAGTATCACTCACGTCGACTTCTGTATCACTCACGACGACCACTCTATCACTCACGACGACCACTGTATCACTCACGACGACCACTGTATCACTCACGACGACCACTGTATCACTCACGACGACCACTGTATCACTCACGACAACCACTGTATATCACTCACGACGACCACTGTATCACTCGCGACGACCACTGTATTACTCACGGCGACCACTGTATCACTCGCGGCGACCACTGTATCACTCACGACGACCAC